CTGAGGAATTCTGGGAGTTGAAGTCCACAAGTCTTAAAGTTGCCAAGGTTGGAGACCCCTGCGCTGGATGGTATAGATATGAAAATTTCTGTGGTAAGATGCACTAAATAGTGTCAAGACCTTTTGCCATTAGCAAGGTTGTCAGGGAACTCCCTGTGATGTCACTTTGTTAAAGCAATTCAAAATTAAGATCACATTTAAGCAATGATAGTTGGCAAAGGAGACAATACTGAAGAAGACTCAGAAATATTAGCTCTGGTATGTGCACCAAGGAAGATAACATCTCTGTCAAGGATGCCTAACCTACAGCTTTGAGATCATAAAAAGTCCTCTAAAAATTACCAATAATTTTTTACATTTAATGTGACCAATGAGGGAAACCACTGAGAATACATGCAGACAAATAACATAAAATGTATATTTCACATGAAGTTCTAAAGGCAAAGATGGACTTAGCTGAAAAAGGTGATGCAACTTTGTGTTACATCGAAGGGGCTCAATTTTGATTTTGTTGGGTGTGATGCATTCCAGGCCTCTTGGATGATTCACTGTCCTATACTTTTGTATGCTCCAGGGGCTAACATGGGAATGTTGGAACTTTTATTGAATTTAATTGAATCTGCAATGCGTGGGGCCGATTACAACCAACCTCCACACTGCACTCTTGCAGAATCTTTAATGATTGGACCTTCCAGGATGTTTGCTTTCCTCAGCTGTCATCTACCACCTCCTGTCCCCCCAATGCTGTCATTTTCACTGGCTTTGTTACGATGACCTTTGCAAGCCTGTTTGGAGACAACATGGCATTTGATTGTCCTGCAGCAACTGGAACAGGATATTAAAATTTCTCCATCGACATTTGAAATTGGCCTCGTCCTTTCGTTTCACATTGCAAATTGCCAGAGAACCATACGCACAGCTGCCAAGTGTGCTATTTACTTAAATCCGGGGTGAGGGATGAAGAGAAAAAGGCAGGGGACCAACATACCCAGTTGGTCAAAGCAATTCATCCCATCATTTTCTAAATAAAGCAGATTAGTCTCTTTACTGCATTGTTTTGCTTCAGATCTAAGCAAAATATTCTAAGAATTGTACTTCAGGGCGTCTGTAAGGTAGAGCATTGTACAGCATCTATATAACGTTAGTTAAATCTTTGGATAAATAAGGGCCAACAAGTTTAAAGACTTGTTTTGAAATCCCAAGATTACCCAAAAATTTGTTTTTCCTTCCTTCCTTCCTCCCCCCACCCAACCCTAACCCTGGTCAAGTTCGACTTGCAAACGGTTAGGGTGTATTTATTATATCTGACAGGCTTCTCCTACATAGAGCAGTAAATCACTGACTCTTCAGACTCTTACAGAATGTCTGTATTCAGGAAACTGCTTATAGCAGAACTTGGGGACACAACACCCCTAGATTAATTGCTTCAGTGGAGACAGGAAGAAAACCATATACACACAGTTTTGCTTATGGCAGTCTACCAAAATTAATATCTTTAATCTGCTATATGCTAAATAAATAAAGATCTCCATCTCTATATCTCATCTATATCATCTGTGTTTATATACAGTATCTATATCAGTGATGATGAACTTATGCATGTCCAAAGTTATACACCATGACATTTTGCATGACATGCCAGTGTCCACCAACATCCGACAACAACTGTTTTCCCTATTTGAATTACCAAAGAAACTGAATGAATACAAATACAAAAAATATGTGTGACCCTGCACCACCCAAAGCTTAAAATGGATTCTCCCCATCCATATCAGCATGTGATTTGCCATCTTCAAAGGCATGATTGATGGTGACACGAAAGAGAATGCAGCTTAATGTCTATGGAGATTCTCAGTCATCCAGATCATGGTTCTCCCAGAGGTGCTTTTTCAAGAGGCAACTGGACTTTCTGTTTTTTTCTTTGAAGACATTTCGCTTCTCATCCAAGAAGCTTCTTTAGGTCTGAAGAAGCTTCTTGGATGAGAAGAGAAATGTCTTCAAAGAAAAAACAGAAAGTACAGTTGCCTCTTGAAAAGGCACCTTTGGGATGAGAGTGCAGCTTGTAAAATGCAATGGGAACATGGCAGCTATATAGGTAAGTTGTCCCCTAGCTGCTGCATGGGGTGGTTGTTTGCACAGGAAAGCTCATTTTTGAGGAGAAAGCGTAGAGGATATCTGCAACCACAGTCTGCAAAATGATCATACTATCAGCAATTGTGTGTAATCAACTTTGTGTGAATGTGCATTAAATTATGAATGGATGTGTAAAGAGTTGCTTCTCTTTTGTTCGGGATGTATGTGTGTGTGAGAACGACATGCCAGTAGAGTCAAGTTAGGCATTTTCCAAATGACATGCCAAGCCCAAAAGGCTCACCATTACATTACCATATATATATGCATGTATGTCCAGATTTAAATTGTTGGCTAAATTGCAGAATAGACAGCAGAAAATTGGCTGTTCTCTTCACAGCATTGTGATTAGGAAGGATGTGCTTAAGGTTGACATTATGCTTCCGTCTGGCTTGAGAACCACAAGTTCCTGCCCCACTAACTTCATTCTTTTCAGTATTGGCAACCAGCGAAGAGAAAGCACTTCTTTTAAAAATGGCTGAAACTCTGGTGAAGTGTCCTTGGGCAATGTCCTTTTAATTCCATGGCTTTGTTTCTTCCAACAGGTCTTGATCGATGCCACCCAGCTTTGCTGTTAGGGCTGATTTTACCCAAAAGAACTCATCTGGACATTCTGAAGACAAGTCATGATCTTCCTCCTAAAGCCAAGAGAAAGAGAGTCGCTGCTAAGGTCAGCCCGGAAAACAGCTGCTTCACTGTCCCTTCACATTTACAGGTAGATGTTGGTCAGGGACAGAGCCCGCAGCCTCTGTGCACAGAGGGGCTTTCCTCTGGAGAAGGTCTGTCAACCCTTCCAAGGCAAGAGGAGCTGACAGTTGATAGTCTTCTCAGTCTCTTAGAACAGCTCAAAAGAGACATACTGTGTAGAGCGCCTTCCTCTTCTTGCCACCAAGATGCAAGAGATGAAGTCAACCAAACTTCTTTGGGTGATACTGTCCATTCAACAGTGAATTCTGCTTCAACTGGAGAACAATTGGGCAATTTAACTCCTGAAATGTTGGGAGCACGGCCATGTCAGAGTGAGGAAGAGGGACAGTTTTCCATTGATCTTCATCCATCAGATTTCTGTAGCATGCTTGGGCCTCTTTTGCCTTCTGGGGTTTTACATCCAGATCAACATGAAACACATATGGCATTACCACATGGAGCCCAAATAAACACCTTCGAAAGTTTACTTTCACCGAGCGTCCTTTATGCTGAAACTGTGACACCCTTTGAAGAATGTCAGGGTCAACTTTCAGCCCAGATTCCTGATGCCAACACAATTGGAGAGCATAACCCATCTGTGGAGGAAACTTTATGTCTCATCCAGTATGTGACACAGATGCAGTCCAACATTCAAAATCTGGAAGCTCAACCATTTAGTCTCCTTACGCAGGAAATGATCTCTGCCTTGTCTCAGATTCCAGCAGGAATAGAGTCATCTCCAGTCCAGCAAGATGGTGGATACTACATAGGATCAACTTGAGATGCTTGGGACAGTGACAGATGTGAAAGGGGACAACTCCAAACAGGGTAGAAATAGGGTGGAATAAGATGCAGGTGAAGGAGGTTTCATTACTTTCTTAACCTGCTTGGATATTTATTCCTTACAGTTCTAAGAGAACGGGGTAGATTTACATGTTAATTGCATATTGATCGGAGTTTAAAAAATCATTTAGATCAGTGTTTCTCAATCTTCGCAACTTCCCCAGCCAGCCGGGAATTCTAGGGAGTTAAAAGTTCCACACAACGTAAAGTTACCAAGATTGAAAAACACTGAGCTGGAAACTGTAAATTATCTGAATCCTAGTGTGTCCATCTCATACCATGGTTATGACAACAGCTAACCAACTGGCTCACCAAAAGCCATTGTAAACTCAAGACTTAAAATGAGCACATTCCATGAAGTTAATGGAAATTGGCATTCGGTAATTTCCAGGGCAAAAAGTGATGGATAGTTTTATGATTTCATGTCATATGCTGATGATTTTTGAATATGTATGTTGAGCAAGAGGCAGATTCCATGAGGAAAATGAGAATTGCATTGGGGTTGAAGTTATTGTCTGAACAGAAGACACAACTGTTCCTAACATTTATTTCCATGTTAAGAAACCATTCTAAAGTGTTTTTTTTTAAATAAAGATTTTATTACTTTTGCAAGATTATGGGGTTTTGAGGGTTTTTTTTAAGTCTTTTTTTTATTTGTGCTGAGGTAAGGAAAAAGTTGCAATAGTTGTTTTCTGAATAAAATCTCAGAGCTGTAAGGGGGCTTTGAGTAATTTAATCTTACTTTAGGATGTGTGGATCTCAGTTCCCAGAATTCCCCAGACAGCATGCTGGGAGTTGCAATCCACACAGTTGCCAAGACTGAGAAACATTGGTCTAGTCCAGGAGTCTCCAACCTTGACCAACTTTATGACTTGTGGACTTCAACTCCCAGAATTCCTCAGCCAACCTCCCCATTTCTTTCAACGGAAGGTGTTGCGAGCCATCTTGGCATCTCCTTGAGAAAATGCTCCAGGCCTGTTTTTCCAAGCCAGAAGTCTTAAGAATTCTTTGAGGGTTGATTTATTTTCAGGTTTCTGGAGTAATCATAATGCAGGTAGTCCTCGACTTACAAAAGTTCATTTAGTCACCATTCAAAGTTACAACGGCCCTGAAAAAAGTGATGTATGACTGTTTTTCACACTTGCAACCATTGTAGCATCCCCATGGCCCTGTGATCAACATTCAGACACTTAGCACTGGTTCATATTTATGATGGTTGCAGTGCCCCAAGGTCACATGATCACTTTTTGCAAACTTCTGACCAGCAAAGTCAATGGATTTATTTAAACAACTGTGCTACTAACTTTCACTTAACAACAATGGCAAGAAAAGTCATAAATTGGGGCAAAACTCACAACAAATGTTTCATTTAGCAACATACGTTTTGGGCTCAATTCAGAGGTGGGATTCAGCCGGTTCTGACCAGTTCTGGAGAACTGGTAGTGGAAATTTTGAGTAGTTTGGAAAACCGGCAAATGCCGCCTCTGACTGGCCCCGCTAACATCTATTCTCTGCCTCCCATTGAGTCCCAGCCGATCGGTTGGGTCTTCTTTGGTTGCCCTGCACAGGAGAATGGAGCTGGAAAGCAGGTTAGTGGGGTGGGGAAGGAATTGGGATTTTGCAGTATCCTCCCCCTGCCATGCCCACCAACTGGTAGTAAAAAAAATTTGAATCCCACCACTGGCTCAATTGTTGTCTGAAGTCAAGGTCTATCTGTACTGACACCAATGAATTATTTCAAATGTGAATAACATGGATTTAAATTCAGGTTGTTGTTTTTTTCCCCTCCTGACACCTCCTATGTTTTGGAGAACTGTCTCAGGTGCACCACTCAAAGGGCATCCTCCTGAAAAAAAATCTTTTACATCCGTTCTGGAATCTGACACCGTAGAAGGCATGTAATATTTGTGTACCAACAGATATACCAGAAGTAGGTTTGCTAAATCTAACTGCAGAGGCCATGATTACTATTGGAGGGTAGCACTGAGGTACAGAAAACTCCCTGCTCCCTTCTGAATTTCAAGGCCAAATTTGGAAAATGTACAACAAAATGTGTTTTTGCCCCAAACTCTTCCAACAGACTTTGAATGAAACATTTTTGATAGATATTTGAGACAGAGATACTGCCCTGGTGTGATCTCAATTAGAATACTGCATCCAGTTCTGGTCACCATGACACAAAAAGATGTTGAGACTTTACAGTAGAAAGAGTGCACCCAGTGGGGCATGTTTAACTCTGAATCTTTTGAGTACTTGAAGTCTTGCAATTTGGGGTGAGGGTTCTGGGACGGGGAATGATTTTATGTAGATAAAGGATTTCCCTATCTCAAGGGGATTTTCTAAGTCCTGCAAGTCTCTTGGATGGTTGGATGGGAAGTAGCCTACAAGCTATAATTGCCTTCTGTGTGATAATAGCTTCTTTCGATTCTCTTGTCTGGATGATTACGAATAGGCTGAGACCTGGTGGGATGGGAGGAGGTAGTGTGTGTGAGGTGCTGCAGCATCCCTGTGGTCAGTAATGGGGTAAACAATGGCAGAGGCACTGCAGTGGTCTTAGCTTTGAAATCAGTTTTCAAGTACCTTTTGCAGAGTCTGTCGTAACTTCAAACGGTTGGTAAGTGACCCATCGTAAGGCAAGGACTATCTCTATTTGATCTAATGGCTCTATAGATGAGATTGGACCTGAATCATGAGCAAACGATCCTACATTAGCAGGGAATGGTTCTGGTCCAAGTCTTAGACCAGGACCAGATACACCTGGTTCACAAGAGATTGGTTGACCATCTTCTTTGTCTGAAGAATCCCCATCAGAGAGTCCAGAGCACTCAAGTCCTTATTCTTGGCTGCCCTGATCTTATGTGGTATTCTGGACATGGTGCTTGTCTATTGTGGCATTGTCCCATGCAGTGCCTTCTGTTATACAGATCTGGAAACTCATATGCTGCAGATAAATAGGGTTCTTAAGTATTTGCAAGGCAGGCTTCCGGCACTGCTTCCAGTGGCGTTGGAGGCAAGGACCGCGAACTCTGCAGCCCCGTTCCAAGCTCTCCCTGTTGGAGTGCTCCAAAAGAAGCCATAGCCACCCTGTAGGGGTGGTGAAGTAAAGGGGGGCATGTTGCAGCCGAGAAGAGCTACATCTCTCCTCCTTGACTTGGAAAATCCCCCTCATCCAAAGACGAGGAGCAGTGGCAGTCGATCAACATGGCTGCCATCAAGCCAGGGGACAGTTTAGAACACTTAAGAAAGTACAGGAGCAAAGAGAGCAGTGAATAGAGATTGTTGGTGGGTGAGATGATTCTTCTTTTACTTAAAAATTAACCCCAAGGAATAAAAAATCTGTGATAAGAGACTCTTAAAACATAATTGTTTAGGCTGTGAAAATAAGCACTTCAGAGATTTTTGTTGAAAAGCAAGTTGAGAGCACCATCTACAGAAAAAAATAGATCTGCCAACATCTAGAAATGAGTAAAATAATAACTAGCAGTCAGCATGGGGTTGTTAAAAACAGATCATGCCAAACCAATCTTCATTCTTCAACAAAGTGACTAAATTAGTAGACCAGCGAAATACTGTGGGCATAATATACTTAGACTTCAGCAAGGCATTTGACAAAGTAGACCACAGCCTACTTCTTGGTAAGATTGAAAAAGGTGGGATAGATAGTATCACCACCAAATGGATTTATTACTGGCTGACAAACCGTACTCAATAAATAGTCCTTAATGGGTCTATGTCTACATGGAGGGAAGGAAGCAGTGGGATACCACAAGGTTCCATCTTAGGCCCAGTTCTCTTCAATATCTTCATAAATGACTTAGATGAGGGAATAGAAGGAGAATTTATCAAATTTGCAGATGATACTAATCTGGCAGGAATAGCTAATACCCTAGATGATAAGCTCAAGATCCAGATGGATCTTGATGTCAACTCATAAAGCATTCCTATGCCTCTTTTAGAGTTGCCATAAATGTGGGGGGAGAATATCTGAAGGAGCAGGGCAGCAGTTTAAAACCAGAAACACATTCCACATTTACCTCACAAAGATTGT